ATGTGCTCTCTCTCTTTCATTCTCATTCTCACTCTCTCAAAATAAATAAATAAATAAATAAATCTTAAAAATAAAATAAATAAATAAATAAAATAATGCTAATGATGCCGAATGAAATCTCTTTCCACATGAAACATGATAGGTTGCTTCCAAGTCACCCCCACCCCAGAACAAAAACAAAACAAATCAGTCTGAGACTCACTTGAGTGTTTAATTCAAACCTATATTTGTAGTTTCTAAAATGCTGATCCACAGACCACTTTCTTGTTACACGTGTGTACCAATGAAAACAAAAGCAGAGGATCACTGCCGTCCCTGCAAAAGGAACGGCTCCTTTTCTAACATTCCTTAAAAATATACAATGTACGGTCCTTGCGCCCCAGCACAGGCAGTGACTGACGTAATAAATACACTGGCCCGCCCGCTCTCCTCCCTGCTGAGCGAGCTCCGCCAACTACCTGTTATAAGCCCGCTCCTTTTTGGATTTTTCCAGGGCCTTGTCCATGGTCTTCTCGTTCTCCCCTCGACATTTGGGACAGTACCACTTGCCCTTTGGTTTGTGATTCAGTCCCACGCAGGAGAAATGGAACCACTCGATGGGGCACTCGTCATTGTCACAGCCGATCATTTCTCCATAGGAGACCTGATTGCACAGACAGTAGGTTGGCTCGTTCGGGTCGATGGGAAGGTCTGCGGGGGACGCTTCCCGCTCAGCTTTGGCCTTGGAGCGTTTCTTCTTCTTGGAGGCTTTTGCTTTCTTCTCCTTAGGCGTTCCTGAGGTGATGTCATCATGGTCATGATTATTGGCAGCGTTCTCTCGGTTCTCGTTGTTGCGCTGTCGCCGGGACCTCTTGTTATTGGTCTTCTCCGCCTGAGTGATTGTCTCGCTCTTGGACTTATCCTGGCCAGCTTTGCCGCTGTGGCCAGTGGTGTCATTGACCTCCTGATGGGCCTCAAAGAGCTCCACGTGACTGTCCACCTGCCTGGTCCGGTTCTCCACCAGCTCCACCATCTGACTCACGATCTGGATCTTCTCGTCGCCCAGCTCCTGGCTCCGAATCAGGGCTCTCTGAATGCAGTGCAACACTCTCCTCTTCTGGACGCCGTCTGTCTCGCGTTTCAATTTCTCATAATACTCATCCAGTTCCTTCAGGATTTCTGCAAAGGAAAAATAAGCATTATGTCCATTCTATAAACACAACTGAGCCCTTTATTTAAATTCTCTGGTCTATAAAAAAGTAATTGCAAAGGACAGAAATAATCAGTGCAAGATTTCCTAGTATGAAAATCCTATACCCTACAGGCATTTTGAGCAGACCTTTTTTTTTCCCCTATTGAAAAAAATCCCTGGAACTAAATACAAATGCAACACAGTTCCCATTTAGCCAAGTGCCACTCAAAGCTCCCCAAGGGACTCTGTGCATTCAGAAGCATGGGTAACATTAATTACTCTTGGGATCGGCAACTAAGGGGAATAGTTTAAATTTAGGTGAAGTGCTGGTGCCCAAACTTTTACTTTCTATAAAATTAATTGATTTATGTCCTATATTTCCAGTTTTTACTCAAATATTCTTCTAACTTAAATGCCTTTATTCCCTTTATTTTAATGCATCAATGTCTAGAATACCCTATTAATCAGAGAATGTATATAAACACTATCTAGTGACCCAGGGCCTCAGTTTGTCAGTCACGTTACCATCATCTAACCTTGCTATTCCTCTGTATTACTAAAAACAAGACTGGTTTCTCACAATAAGTCAGACAACCTAGCTTTGCCTTAAAACAAAGGGGTCAGATTTTGCTTTTGCATTTACTGCTTAAGACAATACACGTTCACATCTGTAAAAATCAACAGATTTTAAAACATTACCAAAACTAAAAAACCCTCAGTACTAAATTTAAACTTTGTACAGGGGGCACCTGGCTGGCTCAGTCGGTAGAGCATGTGACTCTTGATCTTGGGGTTTGGAGTTCAAGCCCCACACCAGGTGTAGAGATTACTTAAAAATAAAATCTTAAAAAAGCGTATATGATTTTAAGATGTAATTTAGAAAGTGTAATTAGGCAATTTCTCAAGATATAAAAGTTGTTAAGTAATCTTGACTGAAATAAGGAAAATAAATATTCTTGCCAAAAACCTATTTAAGGGTCCTGGGAAGGAGCCTCCCCATCGGGCTCCCTGCTCAGTGGGAAGCCTGCTTCTCCCTCTCCCACTCCCCCTGCTTGTGTTCCCTCTCCGGCTTTCTCTCTGTCAAATAAATAAATAAAATCTTAAAAAAAAAAACCCAACTATTTAAATACAAACAGAAATTCCCAGAGTTATTCTTCCCAAAGAGTAACAAATCTAAATAGTATCAGGGGGCGCTGCCTGGCTTAGTCAGAAAAGCATGCAACTCTTGATCTCGGGGGTGTGAGTTTGAGCCCCACATTTGGTGTAGAGACTACTAAAAAATGAATAAACAGTATCAGATTTTTCTCCTGAAACCCTTTGCAGTCTCTTAAAATAAGGCAATTTTACTCTCCAGCTAGCAAGTGTGGGAGGCAGGATATATAAAATGTAACCCCTCATCCCTTCCAAATTTTATTTTTGAATAGTTTTAAGGTATAAACCTAACACTGAAATAAATACATGAATTCAAACCAACACTGAAGCTTACCTAAATATAAATATTATTTTCCAGGTTATATTTTTAAACTAAAGACGGCTCTGAAGATACTTCCTAGAAAAACAATGTAGACTATCTGCCCCCAGAAAGAAGGAATGCCATAGTGTCTGGGAGTAATTAATTCTGAAAATAAATAGGCTCAACTTATGTAAGTTCTATTTCATAGATGCTAAAATAGGAGTTTCTCCAATTTATTTTAAATTCATTGCATATTACTATAATAAAGCTATTATTTGGTTTAATCAGTAACCAAATCTATAGACAATATTAGCCTTACACAGAAAAAACGTTACTATCACTAATATAAAATTCAGTAACATACAGCTTTTTACATCACAAGCAAGTTTACATCCATGCGAAGTCTCAGGTGTGGGAAAGAAACAAAAATCACACCACGAAATTACCAAGAAGTAATTCTGTTACCTGCACAATGACATGTATTTCTTAGACTCCCCAAGCAAAGTCCTCTATCAACAGAGCCACTGCAGTACGCGCTGTAAACAAGAACAGCACCAGGTCTAACTAGGCGGGCGCCCTGCCAGGACACCAGGAGCTTCTCGCAGCTCCGGCAGCTCCCAACCGCTGCTGACCTTCCTTCTGAAATTGCTCCACACCAATTCACTGTAGGGAAGCAATGGTACCACGGAAAGAATTTAAGGACGAAATGAGACTGCGGCGAAACTTAAACTGATCTGTCCAACTACTAGAAACGTATTTTAACTTTATATAAAGGCTGCACTGACGTTCGTTAAGAAGCGGACTTCCGGGGGCGCCTGGGTGGTTCAGTCGTTAAGCGTCGGCCTTCGGCTCAGGTCATGGTCCCAGGGGCCTGGGATCGAGCCCCGCATCGGGCTCCCTGCTCAGCGGGAAGCCTGCTTCTCCCTCTCCCACTCCCCCTGCTTGTGTTCCCTCTCTCGCTGTGTCTTTGTCTGTCAAATAAATAAATAAATAAAATCTTAAAATACAAAAAAGAAGCGGACTTCCATGGTGGGGTGGGTATTTTAAAAAATAGTTTAAACAATGCAAAAATAATTTTGAATTCTATAAATCAAGCACAACCTCAAATACCATTTAAAATGGGTAAACTAATTCTAATCCATCTTTCTGAACTAATCTCCAACTGATGTATAAGGAAAGACTGCTGGCCAAGTTCGACTTTCAACCTAGGTCCTTAAAACTAAAAGCGGTAAGCAAGCATTTCCCCACATCTCCAGTCAGGTCCACCACACGCGCCGCGAGTACTCCCAGCAGCTCACTCAGCGGCCCCCCTCTGCAGGAGCAGCGAACTCCGCAGCGGGGGCTCCCTCCCCGGGACACCTGGTCCCGAAGCAGCAACACAGTAACTCTGGGGGATGCTACAGCAATTTGAAGATAAGTTTCCTGAGAGCGATAATGAACAGTGCCGGTGACCACGAATCCTCCGATCTTCTTTCGCTGCCCTGAGTCACCGCCCCCTCGGCGCATTCGGGGCCCTAGGGGCCGGCTCATCCTCGCCGGGCACCGGTCCCGGGCCACTCTCGCTTCCCCCGCTCCGCGCGGCCGCATCCGCGGATCGCCGGAGGGGCGGCCCGGGGCCATTGGCGGGCCTGCCCGCGAGTCCTTGGGGCCTGAGCAGGAGGCCTGAGCAGCATCCTCTGCAGCCCCGGAACCACGGTAGGCCAGCCTCGCCCCGACCCCCGAGGGCCGCCATTGCTCCGCGGCCGGAAGTGACCAGGCTCGGGCCCCTGAGGGACAGGGGCGGGGCCAGGCCCTCAGCCAATGTGGAGGCGGCCAGGGGGCGTCGCGCCCCGCCCCGAGAGCCACCGCCTGTGGGGCTCGCCAGGCCGTAGGGCGGAGGCCAAGAGGGGCGCCAATCACAGCACAGAACCAACGAATAAGGCCCGCCCCCGCAGCGCCAATGGCCAATCCGAGGCCGGAGGCCAGGCGACCCAAAGACATTCAAATCAACTCGACCTCCTCCTCCTCCCCGCCCCTCTGAAGAAAAAAGAAGGCAGCGGAAACAGAGACCCGTGCCAGTCACTGCGCAATGCCCACCCTCATCCGGCTCAGCAACCAATAGCTCAGCGGCGGACTGATAAGGACATTCCATGGGGGACGCCAAGACCAATCACAAGGAAGCCAAAGCGGGACGTTCACAATATGCTAATAAGACCCCTATAAAAGTCGCTGCGAAGCCCAGGCTCGGTTAGAGCGCGCAGGGGCGCCATAACTCCGGGGTCTCCCTGCGTGCTCGGGACGTGCGGCCGCTTTCCTCCTCCCCCCACGCTTCCGTTTCCCTGCTGCGCAGCCCTGTAAACATTAGTAAACTCCGAGTGACGATCCGCGTCCCACACACAGACCCCAATGGCATGCCTGACCTGGCAGGAAAGTTTCCCCCAGCCAACAATTCCCAGCGGATACGAACCCTCCGTCTCTCTCCGGAACTCTGGGCAGCTGGGGCTGCAAAGAACGACCCACAGGTCCTCTTCCCTGCCATGTTCCTCTGCAAGCCGACAAGCTTTGCCCGCGCCCCCCGAGCACAGCAGATGGGCGACTTCCTCGACCCATCCTCCCTTCCATCCCCTCCCCTTCTCCACCGCACGCACAGAATAAAGCCCTCGCCCTCTGCGAACGACACCCGGCCGCGCCGCCCCTCGCACGTCGGCCCTTACTCAGTGTCCAGCTCCACGGGAGGCCCGGGGAGTCAGGCGGGGGTGGCGGCGACCGGGGCCGCACCGCGCGGAGTGCCGACCCCGGACTTTATATAACACTCAGATTCGGGACTGGGTAGCGGTGGCTCTGGGGATGGCGAGCAGAGCCGGGGACCCGCCACCCGCAGTGCCCTCCCAGCAGCCCTGCGCGCAGCCCCGTCGCTGCGCCCCTCAGCCCCAGCGACCGCGGCACATCCCTCCCTCGGCGCCCTAGCCTGCGCCCCCTGCGCCCCCTCCCCCGCAGCACCCCGCCTCGTCACTTCACTACAAAGAGCGCTTTGCTCGCGCAGCCTGGCATTCAGACCTCTCGTTCCTCCTTCCTCCTCCGTGTCCGGGCTTCGCGCACAAGGACCTTGGCGAATCAAAGACGCTCCAGACCTTTTGTTCCTGCCCGGCCTGAGCTGCCGCCGCGGGCCCGCGGCTCCTCGGGGCGGGGAACAGGACGGCCCGCGGCCCCGCGGCGCGCCGCGACCGGCGGGGATGGAGCGACCGCCCCCGCCCATCCATCCCGCCGTACCTTGGTATTTCGCGTCGATCTCCCGCATCAGCGAGACGTTTCTCTGCAGGTCGAAAGGCAGAGACTCGATGGAGTCCAGGTAGTCCTCCACATAGTTCACCAGGTGGATCTGCTCCCCGTTGGCAGGGCTCAACATGGTTCACCGAGGTCCCCGGCGACTCGGCGCGGCTTTCCGCTTCCTCCAGCCCCCGCCCCCTCGGAGCCCAGCGCTGCAAAATGCAAAGCTCCCGCCCGCCGGCGCCCCCCCCCTCCGGCCGGCCCCGCGCCGCTACATCTGCGAGCCGCGCCGCCTGGGCCCGGGGACCCGGCGCCTGGCGGGCCCGGCCGGCGCTCGGC